GCAAAGAATACCACTAGTTTATCTACTCATCTTAAGTACTTTTATGTGACTAAACCTACAAAATATTTTTTATACGAGCAAAAATAAGATATTAAAATGTACATGTCTAAAACAGCACTTATATTAGAGAAGCTGGGTGGGGTAAGTTTTAATACATATTAATACTCATGACTATGTTCAATGCTTTATCTTGTCATCTAAGGAATGCTTTTACCTTCTCTTCAATTGTCAGTAATCTTTACTTCTTTTTTCATTCTCCTTGGGTATAATTATCTTTTTGAATAATAAATCTTGGCATTATTTTTATAATGGCAATTACCTGAAAGCCTCGTTTGTTTCACACAAGGAAAGATGCGTTAGATGAAAAAATAAGACATGAATTAAGTATTAAACAATGTTTTAGATTTACAATCCTTAAAAAAAGCAACCGCAAGTAAGTTGAAAATTTGCCAGACAAGAAAATCTTCAGTGCCAACCTTACTGCAGAATCTATTAAATCATGAATATAAAACTGTAAACTACACGCGGAAAGAACGCCGGCAGAACGCTAGCGGAACTTGTAAGACGCGGCAATTTGCAAAGACGAACAAATAAATTGCGTTAGTGTACTGGACAATGATGAAAGTTTTGAACTTATCCCCGAAGTTCAGTCAGAACGGTAATTTGGTAAAAGGAAAGCAACTTTTTCCCCCAGGTGAGAGTTATAATTAGTTCTCACAAATACTTAAAGAAATCATTCCATCAGTTAATTTCCCACAAGTATGATTCACATGTAATGCATAGCAGATACATTATCCTGATGGGATATCATGTTAATACATTTTTAGTAATAGCTTAATCAAAATCTACTTTGAAAATCAGCTATAGATATTTTTTGAAAATTATGTTCAAGTAAAACGTTCCCGGGGTTGGGTTGTCACTTTTTTCATAGACTCATTACATAATTATTAAACAAATTAAAATAAATTGATACTGGTATTTTAATTGATAATATTAATTTGAATTAAATTCAAAGAATTGAAAGATATATGTTAAGATTGATAAAAAAATTTTTTAATGAGGTAGGAATTCTGTGATTATTATCATAATCTCAAAAGCTGTTCTATCTCAAATTATTATCGGTCTACTATTTAAAGAATTTTAGAAAATTCCAAACTCATTCAGAATGAACGAGTTAAAAATATATATTATATCAGCTTGATGACAGGAGTTTAAGCTTTATCATCAAATATATCTCGTTCCGCACATGAATTGTTACAAGGGTGTGAAAAAAGACATTTTTCTTCGACATTTTTTCTTGGATCTTTTAGCAGAAGAAGATTTACAGTCAAGATATAAAACACTCAAAGTACATATATTAATGTATGTAAACGATAATTCGTGAAGAATTTATACATTTCAGTCTATCAATGAATTTTCAATCATGAAAAGATGTATACACCCAAGGCAATGCAAATAACAGATTTATCTTTTTTTATCGTAAAGCTTGCACTTTCAAATACATTCGTTGCTACGCAACAATGGAATATCATTATTTTCTAAGAATACACTTCTCGTTGTGGGACGTTTAATTATTAAAGTAGGAAAATTATTGATTTATTACTCATTAATAGCATTTTTGATGATTCCTACAGCAGACGAGATCAAATTTCAAATCTTAAGAGCACGTGCTTTAAAGTGAGCGTGTTTTTATGTTGATAGGGAAATAACGCTTTCATCGAAACGTCAATAAGTGACTCCAATCAAATCGACAACCTTTTGCACCTTTGTTCTCGTTTTAGCACTTTTATGACGGTTAAAAAGATGACATTTTCAGATTAAGTTTTAAATAATTTAATAATCCGTCTCCGTGGCAACAAGAACATGTTCCATATGGCAACGCGTACACCTTAAAATAGATGTAATGCATTTCTTAATTTTGCAACTTCCACAATATATGACGCAAAATGAAAAAAAAAATTGGGGAAGCAAAAGCAAACAAAATTAAAATTTAATCTAAAAAAACTGATGTAGTGCAAACGCTTTAACAATAATTTCTGATATTTGTTCGCACAACGTTTAAATGGATGAATATGTAAACATATAACTTTTCAAATTCTATATTTGAATAAAACATTTATCACTCAAAAGCAATTATGTACCATTCGCTCTTGATATTAAATACTGATAAAAATGCAAACTGACTCCAAATTGATAAAAAAGATTCGACTATTAATGTACACTTAGGTCTATAGTTACCCAACAGCTGTTGCCAAATATTTTATAATAAATAACGAATGTAATAAATTTACTAGTGTCTGAGATGTTATTTTAGACAGATAATAAGGGAGGAACATTTTCATTTATGTTCTCTTGAAATGTTATTAAGGAAATTCGTGAGAGAGAACGCTAAAACAATACTTATGATGATACTGTTTTATGTTGGGTGTGACTCAACCGTCAACATTCTTAGGTCAAATTGGCTCAGCTGGTTCTTAAGCCAGTTTCACGAAACATTTGAAAGATATATATGCGTAATAGTAATTTTCATAAGCTTACTTTTACCAGTTATATCACTGCTAAAATTATTCAATTAATTTTTTTTTCAGTCAAATTAAATACAATATATTATAGGATTTGACTCAAATGAATTATATCTTGCAAGAATCTCACGAGACGCAGAAGTGCCGGGTGTGAGCCGTTATCTATGAGAGTCATTTTTACTCTCAGAGTGATATTTAACCATAACGTAATTTTCACTCCCTGTGTGATATTCAACCTTAACGTAATTGGTATAACGTCTGTAAGGTTATTTTCACTCTCAATGTGATATTCAATCATAACGTAATGGGTATAACGTAAGTTGAGTCATTTTCACTCTCAGAGTGATAATTAACCATAACGTAATTGGTTTAACGTTAGTTAACTCATTTTCACTCCCTGTGTGATATTCAACCATAACGTAATTAGTATAACGTAAGTTGAGTCATTTTCACTCTCAGAGTGATATTTAACCATAACATAATTGGTCTAAGGTTAGTTAAGTCATTTTCACTCCCTGCATGATATTCAACCTTAACGTAATTGGTATAACGTCTGTTAGGTCATTTTCACTCTCAATGTGATATTCAACCATAACGTAATTGGTCTAAGGTTAGTTCAGTCATTTTCACTCTCAGTGTGATATTCAACCTTAACGTAATTGGTATAACGTAAGTTGAGTCGTTTTCACTCTCAGAGTGATATTTAACCGTAACGTAATTGGTTTAAGGTTAGTTAAGTCATTTTCACCCCCTGTGTGATATTCAACCATAACGTAATTGGTATAACGTCTGTTAGGTCATTTTCACTCTCAATGTGATATTCAACCTTAACTTAATTGGTATACCTTAATTAAGTCATTTTTACTTTCAGTGTGATATTCAACCATAACGTAATTGGTATAACGTTTGTTAGGTCATTTTCACTCTCAATGCGATATTTAACCATAATGTAATTGGTATACGTTAGTGAAGTCATTTTTACTCAGTGTGATATTCAACCTTATTTAACGTAAAAGGTATACGTTAATTAAGTCATTTTCACTCTCAGTGTGATATTCAACCTTAACGTAATTGGTATGGTTAGTTCAGTCATTTTCACTCTCAGAGTCATATTCAACCATAACGTAATTGGTATACGTTAGTAAAATCATTTTCACTCTCAGTGTGATATTCAACCATAACGTACTTAGTATATGTTAGTTAAGTCATTTAGACTCTCAGAGTGATATTGAACCATAACGTAATTGGTAAACGTCGGTAAAGTCATTTTCACCCTCTGTGTGATATTCAACCATAACGTAATTGGTATAACGTCAGTAAAGTCATTCTTACTCTCAGTGTGATATTCAACCATAACGTAATTGGTATAACGTCAGTAAAGTCATTCTTACTCTCAGTGTGATATTTAACCATAAAGTAATTGGTATAACGTCAGTAAAGTCATTCTTACTCTTAGTGTGATACAGGCATTTTTTCTGTCGTGGTCGTATTTATGTCTTTCATTCGTGCATTAAATATAAAAAAAAGAAGATACAAAATATATAGATATAAATATTACGTTATGCAATTATTATAAGGAACGTAATATTCATATCAATAAAACAGTAGTTCAATTGAAATTCCACCTTTGGAAAAGATTGCCTGTTTTCTAAGTAGGAATTACATAATTATGCTCATGTATGGTAGTTGCATAATTGGTGCTCGTATCTATCAAAATCTACTTATTTTCTTATAGATTTGTAATGCCGCTTATGATACCAACATACCGAAATAGTGATGATATGTCATGATCTAGAATGCATTACAGACGAACTAGATGCACATCAACGTAAATACGAGAGAATTATGTTGCATTTGTATTACTTTTCTATTTTGTTTTTTTTTATCTTGTTTTTAGACAAATGGAATGTGTTAAAGTATATCGCATCCGCAAAAAACTACATATTTATTTAAAAACAAGGTGTTTACTAAATTAAAAACTCAGTTTACCTAGTATTAAAGTAAAACTTTAATTTAAACATTGGCGTCAATACAAAGTGGCATTATTACAATGAAATTGCTTAGGTGTAAGATTTATGAAAATCATAAAATTTGAAGGAAAATTTATGCGACACAATTGCAAGATGGTTACATTGTTATCAAACTATACAATTTATTATATGCAATCATTTCTAGAGTAAACATTTATGTTAACGTATTTCTTTAGTATGTATATATTATTGTATAACGTTAATTATCAGAATATCATTTAGTAATAAGCCACTAATTTTGCCAGATATAAGATAATAATTGAAAACATAAGAAATGTTTTTGTCTTCTTTTTTTTTTGTAAACAAGACGAAAGAAAAAAAAAGAAAAACGAAAAGAAATGATTGCAATTGAAAATCTACAAGATTTTTTTTAAACTTTCTATACGTGATAAGATGATGGAACCAAACGATAGTGAATATTATTTACAAAAACATTAATTAATCTTACCTCTGTGCGTTTTATCCTAGGTTATTTGTGTTTGTTATCAGGTTAGGACGTCCTGATAGTAACAAGTTTCCACTAGTGAATGATACAGTCTGAGAGAAATTACACTAACACCGTCAGCGCGTGCCATGCCAGCGTTCAATACAAATATCCACAGGTGTAAACCATGTTTTACCTATGTTTGATAAACTTACATACTGTTTTCATTTCGGAAAAAAATGCATTATTTCTCTTAAATGTTCACAATATATAGAAATATCATAAAAATATTTTTTCGCCTACATCACCGTTACAGGTTGAATCTATGCAAATCTACCTATCAAATTAACCAAGTATACAAACTTAAAGTAAAAACTACACTGTACCCGAAATTGTAAATAAAAAAATATTTTAATTCAAAATTTAACGGTGCGTGCAATTTCAAGTCGCTCTAACATATTTTCTCACGGACCAGTTAACTAAATGTTATAGACGCTGAAAGGACAAAATCGATAGTTTTGAAACATGAAAGAGTTACGTTTGGATACCATGCTAGATTTCCTTTAACTTTAAAAGCCTTTAACATATTGTATGCATTCGGGAAATCGTATTTCAAAGCTTGAGCATAGCAATTCCCAAATTGACCATTCTATCGACTCTGTTCTATCGTTACACTGGTACTAATGTTTGATTGACTAATTAAAGTCGGCCATTTCTGCTATTCATGTATACAATAATGACCGAAGAAAACCGCATTGTCACGAAGATCGGCCATTACTAAGGTAACATCGGGCTCGTTAGTATTTCGTCACACAAAACACGTTATTATTTCTACGTTAAGTTATATAACATCTTTAAGAAGATATAATCTTACTCTAAAGGCGCATTATTCCTGATTTTTAAATGATTAATTCGCTCCTTCTTTAAAAGGGCAATCATTAGTTTTATAACGTTGAAATAAAGATTTTAGAGCGTGTTAGATGCTTTTCACACGATGAAGGTAGCACCAAATGGGAAATTATTTATCATAAAAGTGGCAGAATATAAACTATGTAGTTTTTCGACTTCCGTACAAAATACTTAAACACTATATCTTCCATTTTACCAAAAAAACAACAGAAACATAGGATGGTGCAGCTAATTGGCCAATAAGCAACTTAAGAAACTATAACACAAAAACTAAAAAAAATATTTGAAAAGCAATATAATTTATATTGTTATATAATTTGTTCAGACTTAAGCAAATCAAATCTTATAATAGATTATTGAAATTGACTAAGATTTCAAAAATGTTTACTTTTAAGAAGATCACTTTAAGAAGTTCCTTTTTATGTGGAATTGGGACAGGGCCTACGGAGAGGGGAAAATTGTGTCACAGAAAAAAAGGTAAGAGTTATAAATGGATAAAACAGCTGTGATATGATACCATTATTTTATGTCCTACCCCTTCTCACAATTGTGATAAAATGGGTTGGGGGATTTTTGTTTTCTTGGGAGGTAAATTTGCCAAATTGACCCTAAAATCACTGAAGAGCTACTTAGTTTTACTTTAGTTTAAGGAGAATACGGTTTACAGAGTCCCCTGAATAACCATTACTGCCAGGGATTGAAATTAATGTTTATTTTCATGACAGCAATGCTATTCGAGGATACTGTAAATTTTTTTGTAAATTCAAATTCTGTTCAGTTCTAATCATATCTCTTTATATCATGATGTCGGATGGTTTTGTTATGAAAAATTGATGGATAGCAGGACAAAAAAATGTGGTTGGTCTCTAAGTGAATATTATTTAGACCACGCGCCAAACTAAAAACTCTGGCGTGATAAGACGAATCTTTGAATCTTTGGGAAATCAAGCGCAGGGCTTAACTCTTATCCCCTGAATCAATTTGAAAAGCTCCTGTCAAGTAACTTACTTATTGAAAATAAATTATCTTTTAATTTGCCAATACCGTTTCATGTTTTGAGTTAAATGCACGGTCATGAAAAATACGATATATGAAAAATGTAATAACTCAAGATCGCTTACATTTTTGAGATGATTTATAAAATAAACATAAGTAAAGAAATATTAAATTCTTGTCAAGTACGGTTTAACGTGTCTCATAAATACTGTGTATCTAAATCTTGCAACTAAAATTTGATCAGAAATTTACGCTAATCTCATCTTGTATATGATAACATACAGCCGCCAAAGCAGTCATGTCACCTTTTAATCAAAATTACAAAATAATCGAGGAAATTGATAATGAAACCATGCAAACCATTCATTCAAATCCATTCGCATTTTAGTGGAGTGGATCGTCTCAGCGTTTCTATGTTGAAATGCCATCCCCATCACCCCCCACAAATAAAAACTATTATAAATAAATAAATAAATAAATAAATAAAAATAAATGAATAAATAAAAATGAATGAATGAATGAATAAACAAAATTTAATAAATGAATGAACAGAAACAATTGAATTTCGGAAACACCATTCAGTCTCTACAGAGCCGTCCTGCTTACAACAATAACCTTTTTGCAACATACAATAACAATAATAAATTATCTTATAAAAAAAACCAACCCTCTAGAGCACCACCTCTCGACAGTAACCAGAAGCTCTATATCTGAACTTGTGGTAACTTTGCACAGATTGTACTGCATGCCTAAGTGTTATAATAAAATTGGGGTTCCCTAATACTTAACAATTTGTTGGCATATCAGACACATATGTACAATGTATATTCAGTAAAAAACATTTAATTTGATATGTTTGCCTATTTATGTTTGTACGTACATATGTATATGTATTAATTTCTTTACGTGATTTTAATACGGCGACAAGTAACATATAAAATGAACGGACTATACAGCTCCTACCTCAAACCTGCTGATTCTCGTCATGTGTGACGAACACTATTTATCTGTCGGCACTCGTCAATTATCTCTACATCACGTGGTCATTATGGTGAAACCGGAACATAACTGGCATGCTTGGAGAGTTTCTACCGACAGTTGGTTCTGCCACTGCTGATTAGTTATCGAAGTTGTAACTGACCCACTACAAAACATGTGGGATCGGTCAGCTCTCTTTAAAGCCCATTACTTGGGAATAATGTTCTTTTATGTTTTCTTACTTTAGAAAATTTGCACCTAGAATGAGGGTAAATGACTACTATATTATTGACAGGAAATATTGTGATAGCAGCAAATAAATTTTTAGACAACTCATCGACGCATCATTATCTACAATAAAAAGACTATAGTAAATAAATGAAACAAATCTTCATGGTTCTAAACTAAAAATAAAGTAAAAATTTATGCTTAGATTTTAACGACATAACAATTAACAAAATGTCACCATGGGTACCTGTTGACATTATACACTAGTATCTTGTGTGTCCTGATATTGTTATAAAACAAAATTTTAGTTATTTATATAATCTATAGCAGTTAAAATAACAGCTCTTGTTTATCAAAGGATTGAAGTTAAATTTCAAAAAATTGAAAAAGTTCCAATACCGTACATGTATATAGATTTTTTTTTCACAAGCAGACGTATGTATACGTGTGTTAGCGTGTGTGTGTGTACGTGTGCGCATTCGACTGTATCTTAATGTCTTCATAATTGTTAAAAAAATCAAGTTTTTATTGCATATGTAATAGAAAGAGCACCGAAACACGAGGCTATCTGATTTGTACGAGGGGGCGTAGCCCCCGAGTATAAATCAGATTGCCGAGTGTTTTGGTGTTCTTTCTCTTTTGTATCATAGTCAAACATGACAGCACGTTCCCTGTTGTCAAAATACGAAACCCCAGAAAAAATGAACCAATGAACGAGCATTTGAATATGACATTCCTGCCCCTTTCTCTTTCTCTGCCGTCACAATATGTAAACCCCAGCAAAAATGAACCAATCAACTGGCATTATCTGGAGTGCGGGTAACTGATACCTGCACTCCAGTTACCGCACTGTGCATGTATATGTATACGATTTAACTCTGACACTTTTTCAACAGAAAGGTCCCCAAACTATGATACAATTAATTTGTATAGTTCGATAGTTTTCGGTAAATAAGTTGTAAACGCAAGTTATTATCGGCTCGTGCCAGCAGCGCTTTGAACTGTTGACCTCACCAGTTGTTAGACCCTGAATATCATTAATCGTGACGGGTAAATGAAATGAACCGGGTAAAAAATGTAGAACATGTTCTAAAACAAATACGTTTCACACATTTGATCAATCAAACATATCATGTCGTTTTTCATAAACACCATGCGGTACCAATCACCGGATATTGATGATATATCGAATGATGAAAGGATTTATCTAAATGTTTTGCACATTATGCTATTGCTCGCTTAAGATTCGTTAAGTCAAGACGAATGTTCGTTTTATCACATTTTTTGACATAGGTTAAGATTTTCGCGTAAGTCACAATATGCATAAGAAATACATATTTATTAGATTACTTTAGAAATGTCAAACGTGTTTTAAATAATGTTTTAATAATTGATTTAGAGCATGTAAGATGTTAAGCAGCGCTGAATGTGAAGTAATGTCTCGTAAAGGTAGCAAAATGTAAATAAAGTAGTGTTTTGACTTCCATAAAAAATACTAATTCATAATTATGAAATAAGGCGATGACTATAAACGGTTAAAAAAACGTTCATTTTTCCGTTTTAAAGGTCATTCGGTATTTCATGCACCGCTTTCGTTTTCACTCGGAACAGCTAGGTGATTATTATTAAGCCGAAAAGTTGTGATTGTTCCGTTATCGGAACATTTTTATTTGTTTTATTCGTCAGACCAAACAAATAATTTTATCGAAATTTCAGACCCTGATATGCTTATTTGCAAAATCCGCAAGTAGTCCGTCATAAACTCCTCGAAGCGGTTGCTTCCCTTTATAAGTACATTAATGCCGAAAAAATTAAGGGGAGATCACTGCGTAAAGATTGTCAAATGACAGGCGCATTAATTTTCAAACCTTCTCAAGGAAGAAAAAATAGTTCCCGATTGGTCGGAGATTTCTAATATTGTATAATTCTTTAACATTTCTGCAAATTACCTGTAATATATTCAAATAATTTTGTTACGCGGATGAATATCATTTTAATCTATGAAAATTGCTCGGCTATTTCCGTAAAGCTTCGGATTATAATTATTGTGATCGCCTAAATGAACATTATTTAGACTTTCTGCAAAAAAGTAAGATTGCTTATATTAAGCTCCATGATTATTTTACATCAGTGTTAAACAACAGGTTTAACGCGAACAAAATATCTCGAAATTAATTGATAAGGATAATAAACCCTAATTTAGAATAATGTGGTTTTGTTTCTGGTTAAGAATTTAAATATGAT